TATTAGAGGAATTGGCTCACACAACTATGATAGCTAAGGAGTACATGACAGGCAGTCTGCAAACTGAAGACCTTGGGATGCTGGTAGTGTAGCTCAATTCAAGTCTAAAGTCCTCAGAACCGAGAAAGTTAATGGTGTAACTCTCAGTCCAAGGCCAAAAGCCTGTGAACCTGGAGAGCTGATGGTGTAAGTCCTCGAGTCCAAATGCCCATGAGCTGAGAGTTCTGATGTTCAAGGCAGTAAGAAAAGGCCTATCCTCAAGCCCACATAAATACAGTTATCTCACACTAGACAAAGGCATCATAAACATACATTGGAGAAAAGAAATACATACATTGGTGCTGGGAAAACTGCAAATGCATATGAAGCGAAATGAATCAGACCCCTATCTTTCACCAAGCACAAAACCTAACTCCAAGTGGATCAAGAATCTAGGCATTATACCAGAGACCCTGCACCTACAAAAAGAAAAAATAAGCCCAACTCTCCATAATGTCGGCTTAGGAACTGACTTCCTCAAGAAGACTCCTAATGTGCAAGAAGTAAAATCAAGAATCAATAAATGGGAAAAGCTTCTTTACAGGAAAGGAAAGAATCAAGAACATGAAGAGAGAGTCTACAGAATGGGAGAAAATCTTTGCCACCTCAAATACAGCATTGATCTCCAGGATATATAAAGAACTCAAAAACTCAACACCAAAAACCAAATAACCCAATCAATAAATGGGCAAAAGAACTGAACAGGCACTTCACAGAAGAAGAAATACAATAGATCAACAAATATATGAAAAAATGTTCAACATTTTGTAGCAAATAGAGAAATGCAAATCAAAAGTACTCTAAGATTTCATCTCACTCCAGTCAGAATGGCTGTTACTAAGAATACAAGCAACAATAGGGTACACTCATACCCTGTTGCTGGTGGGACTGCAAATTGGTACAACACTATGGAAAGCAGTATGGAGATTCCTCAAAAAATTTGGACCATTTGACCCAGTTATCCCATTCCTAATGTTATACTCAAAGGACGTAAAATCAGCATGCTGCAGGGACACAGCCACATCAATGTTTATAGCTGCTCAGTACACAGTAGCTAAGCTATGTAACCAACCTAGGTACTCTTCAACAGATGAATGGATAAAGAAAGTGTGATATGTATACACAGTGGAATATTACTCAACCATAAAGAAGAATGAAATTATGGCATTTGCTGGTAAATGGATGGAACTGGAGACTATCATGCTAAGTGAAATAAGCCAATCCCTCCCAAACCAAAGACTGAATGTTCTGTCTGATATGCAGATGCTAACACATAATGGGGGTGGAGGAAGAATAGAAGTTCATTCAGTTAGACAAAGGGGAATGAATGAGAGGAGGGATGAGAATAGGAAAGACAGTAGAATGAATTGGACATAACTTTCCTATGTACATGTATGAATACATGACCAGTGTAACTTCATATCATGTTCAATTCCAAGAATGGGAAATTATATTCCATGTATGTATAATATGTCAAAATATACTCTATTGTCATGTGTATTGAACAAATAAAAATTTTTAAAAAGGGGAAGGTCTATCCCAGCTCTTGGAGCAGAGACCAATTCACCTTCTGTATTTATTCTGTCCTAGGAGGCCAATGAGAGTGGTGCCTGCCCTCTCTGAGGGCAAATCTTCCCCACCTCATCTGCTAAAACTCAAATGCTAATCTTCTCTGAGAGCAACCTTACAGACAAACCCCAAATAATTATTTACCAAGTATTTCTTAATTCAGCCATTTAATATGCTAAAATTTACTGTTAGGGGGCGGGTTGTGGCTTAGTAGTTGAGCACTTACCTCTAATGCAACAATAACAACAACAACAAAAAAAACCATTATAACCTAGCCTACAAAGTATTTCTCAAACATATTTTCACTTCAGGGCATTTTTGCCTGGCGCATGCTGGGCAAATGTGCTTTACCACTGAGCTACTCTGCCAGGGAGTTTTTATTTGCTATTTCCTCTGTTTGGACAGTTTCTTGTTAAAGTATAACATGGCTCTTTTGATTTATTCGGGTCTTTGCTCAGATGTTACTCTGACATTTTGACTAATCACCATATTTAAAATAGAAACTCTTGTCCTAGCATTCCTAGACTCACTCTAAGTTGATTTCTTTATAGCATTTATTGCCATCTAATATACTGGTATTTCAGTTTTTAGAAAATTCTGTCTCCTCTTCCCCAGTTAGAATATAAGTAGAGATTTTTGTTGTTCTTGTTCACTGCTATTTAGTTTCTTTATGTATGGAAATTGCATTTGGGAAAGAGTGCTCCTTAAACTGTTTGGACATCAAAATCTTTTTTGGAACTTAAATACTTACTTAGATTCTATCATAAAATACTGACTTTAATTTGGAAACTGGGAATCCTGTCTGCCCTTAGGCAGCTTCCCAGAAGTGGCTGTCATAAGCTTATTTCAAATTTTTAACCCCTGACAGATCTCTTTTCTGTCAGTCATTACTTGGGATTGGAATTGATGCTGGTATGAAATACTGCCCCAGGCATGGTCTCTTCCTGTGCCAGTTGCTGTCATTTTGAAACAATAGGAGACCAGTTCCTTTGATTATGAAAAACAATTTTGTATTTTCTCCAATCAGCAATACAGAGTGCTTTCTCAATAAGAGGGTGCCCTGATGTTTATAGGCTCAGTTTTGCTGTCCAGCACTTGTCTTAGTCTTTTTGTGCTGCTGTAAAGGCATTCTGTAGCCTGGGTAATTTATAGTAGATTTATTGGGGCAGTTTGGGGAAGCTAGGAAGTTCAGTATCAGTGTTCTGGGATCTGGCAAGTGCCCTCTTACTGTGTCACCATGTGGCAGAAGAGAAGAAGGGTAAAAAGAAGGTAAAAGAGAGCAAGAGGGAGCCAAACTCATTCTTTTTTTTAATATTCATTTTTTAGTTGTAGTTGGACACATACCTTTATTTATTTATTTTTATGTGGTGCTGAGGATCGAACCCAGGGCCTCACACGTGCTGGGCGAGCATTCTACCACTGAGCCACAACCCCAGCCCCAAAACTCATTCTCTTATAAGGAACTCTCTCCCATGATAACAGCTTTAATTTATTCATTCATGAGAGCAGATCCCTCATGGCCTAATAACCTCTTAAAGGTCCCACACCTTAATACTGTCACAATGACCAGTAAGTTTCCACAAGCTTTTTGTGGATCCATTCACCATAGCAGCACCTTAATAGTCTCCCTCATGCTGGCTTACTATGCAGAGAACTGGATAAATAGAAGGGAGACACCCAAGACAGGAAAAGTATATAAGCAGTCCTCTGTGTTGTCATCCTTACATTTGCACCATTGTCATACCATCCTTGTTTACTCTGCATGTCACTTTATAGTTTGTGACATAATATCTGTGATCTCTTGTAATTTTCAACTCTGGTTGTGAAATATTTTTTCCTAAGTTGAGCTAAAATATACATATCTTCTTTAACTTTCATCTTCAAGTTGTTGTGGTTTTAGTTTATAGACAGATGGTAGTTTATCTAGGCTGTGACCCTGAGATGGTTTGCCAAGGCTGCATATTGTGTAGGCTTCGGGAAGTTTTGGCCTCTGAAATCGACTGGCAGCATTATCCCTTTTGCCTGTCTGATGGCCCTAACTTCCTCTCCTTGGGAATCTATCCTTTCTCTACCTCTCATTTCAGATTCCTGGACAGACTGATTAGTCTCAGAACAATTGTCATCAGGTCAACTGTTCACTGCCTGCTTTCAACATTCAACTTATTTCCTATTCTGAGGTGTTAGAAAAGTTAATGACCTAAAAAATTGCCCATCTATCATATGAACCTAGTTAGGAGAGAATATTTTTATTTTTATGAAGTGTAAATAATATATTTAGGGCTAGGGCTATAGCTCAGTTGGTAGAGTGCTTGTCTAGCATGTGTGAGGCACTGGGTTTGATCCTCAGCACCACATAAAAATGAAATAAAGGTATTGTGTTCATCTACTATAAAAACATTTTTTAAAAATAATATATTTGTAGACACATTTTCAAATATGTGTCAGCCTGTGTGTAAGAAATGGCTACCTAAACAAGGTTGAAACAAATTGGCTGGTTAATAGAACTTAATGACAGATTTTCCATTAATCAGAATAGGAGAATGTACTTCATTAAGATAATTAACAGAACACTTGTGCAAGTGACAGTTCCTGCACACAAATTTCTAAGTTTATTTTTTTCTCTTGAATGAATATGTAAAGAAATTCTGGCTGTTTCCTTGTGTACATTAAAATGTTCAATGGGGGGCTGGGGTTGTGGCTCAATGGTAGAGTACTTGCCTCGAATGGGTGAGGCACTTGGTTCTATCCTCAGCACCATATACAAATAAATAAATAAATATATTGTGTTCATCTATAACTAAAAAATATATTTTTTTAAATGTTCAATGGCAGTGAACCTCTCTTCACCTTTTTTTCTTTAAAGCTGCGTAACTGGTATCTTGTCCTCTGCAGGTACAGGGATAGGTAAGACACTTGCTGCTCTTCTTTCCAGCAGGCTGATGTGTTCATCATCAGGCACGGGACTCCCTTAGTGAACCACAGAAGTATATAATTTTCCAGCATATAATTTTGAGCTAGTATCATTAGAATTAGAAAGCACCTCAGAGATCCTAAACTAATTCATTTTATATCAGGATATTAAAATGTAGAGAGAGAGAGAGTGACCTGGCCAGTGCCACACTAATGACTAATGACAGAGCTCTCAGTAGGATAATTAACACTGAACTGAGAACCTGAGTTGACATTAAACAAGTTGTATCACTGCTCTGCTTCTCAATATCTTCATCTGTAAAATGGGAAAAGTATTTTGTATAGTATGTTGTTTAGTTCTTTTTATTACTAAACTATGATTCTTCCCTTGGAGCATAAATTGGAGATTTTAGAAGAAAAACTTATGTTCAAGGAAAATGAGCAATTAATAATTAATTCTGTTTTCTTTGTTTTCTCTGTAGGATCCTCAGTCTTCCACAATGAACCCTGTTTACAGCCCCGTGCAGCCTGGGGCTCCTTATGGCAACCCTAAGAACATGGCCTACACGGGTGAGTGGTGTGAGAAAGGCTCTTGTGAGAAATAGGGGTTGATGTCATTGCAAAATAACTTTCTGAGTGACTTGGTGTGCTGTGCCTTCAAAAGTCACTTGGGAACTTGGAGAAGATATATCTGAGGTCAAGTAATGAAGAAAATGTGACATTCTTCACTAAGAGTCATTGAATTGTTAACAAGTGAGAAGGTAGGGAGGTAACACTGGGCACCTATCATGGGTCTAGCCTATGCTGGGCACTTCCATATACCTTATTTCACTTCATTGTTAAAGCAAATTCTACATAGTAGAGCTTATTATCACCATTTTACAGATGAGGAAAAATCAAAGTCACATAGTCAAAAGTACAAAACAAAATTAGATCTTCAAACTTGGCTCAGATGATTCTGAAGATATTAACTGCAGACCAGCTGTTTCTTACTACTGTACTTTTATTTATGTTGTCTCTTTGTCTTGAATGCTGCTGTTCCCTGACTGCTTTACCTTATCCCTTAAGAAATCAACTCTTATTTTGGACAGTACTTTTCCAGAAAGCATACTTTCCTTTACTCAACTTTAGGCAAGTTTTCCAAACTTCTAGAGCCTCGGTGTTCTCATGTATTAAACAGGGACATTACCCTACTTTATAGGGGTGCTGAAAGAATTACAGGAGCTAGTGTAAAGCACTCAGCACTTACAAAGTAAGTGTTTAGTAATGATTATTATTATTTACAAACAAATAAAGTCAAAGAGAATTTATGGCAGTGGAAGTGAATGAGAAGATGTAAGTTGTCTAGCATGATGATTAGCACATCACAAACCTTCAAAAACATTAATAAATATAAATGAAGGTGGAGGTAACAGTATAAACAATCACATGGAATTGAGATAGTCTGGTCAGGCCTGGGGCAGCTCAGTGATAGAATGCATGCTTAGCATACATAGGGCCCTGGATTCAATTCCCAACACCAAAAACATAACAACAACAACAAAAAAGAATGTGTGATCAATTCTTGACTATACAGGGTACTGTCAATCCTCAAGCTTAGATGGAGTTTATAGATTAGAAAAGAAATGGGAAAGAAGGAAAGATAGATTTAGGTCTTGGTAGCAAGTTTGTAGTTGGGAGCATTGAAGAGTTTTGTCCCAGAATGAAAGTAAGTAGAAGTGGTGGCATGTATCGGTTTCTCAAACTCCTTACGTACTTTTTTGTGTATGGTGTACAGCCTCCTAAGACTGAGAGTGGAAGGATCTCGGAGAACCCATTGTTTGCTTGTGTCTAAACTTTGTCCTATAAGAACACTATGAGAGTGTTTCGGTGTCCTCAAATATTTGATTTTTTAAAAAAGATTAAGAACTGTTTTTATAAAGCATGCATACATATTTTATTATCATTGTTTTAAGGGTCTAAGACTGCATGTTAATTTAAAACAAACAAACAAAAAACTGCTACCATTTGCAGCTTCTCATTTTTGTTTTCATTTTGCTGTGATGCTTGGGATTAAACCAGGGTCTCAAACATGCTAGGCAAGTACTCTACTGCTGAGCTATACTCCCAGCCCCAGCTGCTTATGTTATTAAATCAGAATTGTCTTAATACCATGCCACCATACATTTTGAAATATATTGGAAGTTAAGCCAGATACAACTGTAGCTGTTATCCCTAACTTACAATTTCACATGTTTATGTTTTCACAACTGTGTACATTTTCCTTATTATTTAACCTTAAAAGTAAATATTTTCTATTTGAATGTCTATTGTGTATTTATTCTAATAAAAGTAATTCTAGTAACTAAGACCCATGGGGTAGTACCCCACATCTATCTAGCTGGATGGTTTTCCCCTTCCCAGTTGAGAACATGCTAGCAACCTAAGATCCTTTGCCAGAGGGCAGAGTTATTTAGCAGATAAGAGTCCTTGGGAGCTTTGTGGGGCTTTGGTTTGGTAATTGCTGTGATCCTGGCTGTCTTCATTCTTACTGAGTTGCTAAGCTTGAGAAGGAAGGAAATAGTTGCATTTATTTATTTATTTATTTACCCCCCAGAATATTAGGCAGTGTGATATATTGGAAAGGAAACAGACTTTGTCTTCTTGACTCATAAGAGAACTTGGTAATGTGTTTCAGTTGAATGAACAACCAAGTCCAAAACTCAGCATAATCAGGTAATAGCTAGGTAATATTGGACAATTTGCTAACCTCCCTAAATTTAATTTCTTTTCCTTTTCTTTTTAAAATATTTTTAATTGTCAATGAATCGATTGATTGATTATTTATTTATTTATTTGTTTGTTTGTTTGTTTGTTTGTTTATTTATTTATTTATTGTGCTGAGGATCAAACCCAGGACCTCACACATTCAAGGCAAGCACTACCACTGAGCCACAACCCCAGCCAAAACTTAATTTCCATTATAAATTGGATAATATTTTCTATTAAAAAAATATATATGTGGTCTATTTTATAGGACAGTTGTGAGAATTAAATAATTTGTACTTCTCTAGAAGGAGGGGTTTTGTTTCTTTCTTTCTTTCTGCTAATCACCAAGGAATATTATCAGGATGGAACTATGTTTAAAGTTCATTTCCCTGATGGAGATTCTAGGACCACACAGGTAGTATAAACTCCACAAAGTTTTATAAATTCAGGCTTCATCGAGGCCAAAGTTTCAGATTCATAGGGAGATTTTTTTTTTCTTTTTTAACTTGAGTGTCCCTGTTTTATCTCTTCTCTCACTCCCTCCCCTTCCTTTCTTCTCCCTTCCTTCCTTCTGTGGTACTGGCAGTTGAACCCTCTTGGCACTCTACCACTGATCTATATCCCCACAATCCATTTTTTTGTTTGTTTTTAATTTCTTAACTTGTCAAGGCTGGCTTTGAATTTGTGATCCTCTTGCTTCAGCCTCCTGAGTTGCTGGGATCACAGGTGTGTGCCATGACTCTGGCTCATGTTGTATCTCTGTACTTTTGGATACAGAGATATTTATTAATTTTTAACTTACAATACAGCTCCTTTAGGGTCCCAGCTTTATACAGGGAAATTTAATTTCCAGCCCTTGGCCTCTCTAAGATCCATAGCCTTATCTCCTGTCCCTGCTGGCTATAGAATGCAAGCCCTTTGGTTGCTAGGACCCAAACCCTAACCAGAGCAGATGGACATCAACTTCCTGATTTTTAGTTTCACCTTCATTTTTTGATCCCTGAATAATTCATTTCTTTTTCTTTCTTAAATCTCAGATTTACCTAAGAATAAGATATTTGTTATACTTCATCCAGATTTTCTAGGTGTCATTCAATAGGCATAATTTTGAGTTATTTTTTCTTTTATATTGCTGGAAATGGAAGATCCAAATGAGATAATTAGAAACAAATGGCAAAACATAGTACATTACAGTATATACTTATTGTTACTAATAGTAATGGTTATGTTAACAAGTGTTAATTGCTATTTGGTGGACACATTCTAGGTTTGTTCTATGTATGTATGTTTCTGTGTATTGATTATGATTAATCTTATTAATCATAAACTTCACAGTACTCTTTAACAGATTTTTTTAAAAAACTGATAGTTTAAATCAATTCATTGACTTGGCTAGTATATCTAGCATCTAAGGAATGAGGAAAAATTTGAATTTAGGTCTTTATGATTTTTAAAGTATATGTGCTCTCTGTTATGGCAAGTTGATCTGTCTTAAAATATGTGCCCCTTTCACTGCTCCATGAATAATCTAAGGGAGAATCCAGGACTAGGGAACCTTCCCTTTGAAATGGTATAAGCCTGCTGCTGACCAGTAGTTTAAGGTAGGTACAGCAGGGCAAAAATTGAGGGAGTCAAGTGCATTGTGGTGTTATCAGCTTCAAAGGCCATGGGGTGATGGTTACAGGAATTAAAGGAAAACACTCCCAATTTGAAATTCTCTCTGAAGTATTAGATGGGAAATGAAATACATTTTGTGATACAGTGTATTCCAGTAAATAGCTATCTTCTATCCAATTGACAGTTTTTTTCTTCTCTGTCTCCCTTTCCACTCCTCCCCTCTTTTAAAGCTCCTTTACTGAGTATTTACTGTGCACTCAGAACTGAGCCCAGCATTCTATACACAAATTGTGTTTTTACACCTGTAACAATCCTATAGCATTGTTATTGCTACCTCCTGTACATCTTGAAAAAGTGAATTTAAAGAATGTAATGTACCATATACTTTAAAATGTTTATAGATTGTGTTATGGACTGAATGTTTGTGTCCCTTTAAAATTCATATGTTGAAACTCTAACCCCCAATAGGATGTTAATTAAAGATGGGGCCTTTATAGGTTTACATGAGATCATAAGGGTGGGGACTTCATTATGGGATTAGTGCTCTTAAAAGAAGAAGAAGAGACATCAGAGCTCTTTCTGCTTTATGAAGACACAAGAAGGTGGCCATCTGCAAGCCAGGAAGACCTGTCACTAGAACCCAACCATGCTGACATCTTGATCTGGACTTCCAGCCTCCAGAACTGTAAGAACTAAATGTCTGTTGTTTAAGCCTCCAGTCTGTGGTGTTTTGTTATGGCAGCCCTGGCTGCCTAAGACAATAGTAAGTATAATGAACGCCTGAATACCTGTTGTTTTGGTTAACCATTAACAATGAGCTCTATACAGACTGGGACATTTCTTTTTCTGAAGGCCTCAGATAGATTTCTCTGCTAGAATTCTGGAATGTAGTTAAGATGTAAACATTATTCTGTTTCTTAAAGTGTTCTGATGGTGTCAATATCCAGGCATCACCCAGAGGTCTGATAGGTGGTCTGGGAAGAGGACAGGTTTTGCTAACAAACCTGAAATAAAAATACAGAGAGATGAAACTCCATGCAAAGAGTTTATTTGGGAATGTGCAAAAGTGCAACTCAGGATACGCATGCTATAGTGAACCATAGGCACACCCAGGAGGCCTGGAGCAAAAGGGAAACTTTTAAGGAAAAAAAGTTCATGTAACTATTATGAAACAAAGACCTTTGGTTAAAGGGGCTAGTTGCAGGATTTGGCCTGAGGTCATTGTTGCTAGGCAGGCGTCTTTGTACAAAGTGGCTTATCTGGAATACTGTGGTCTTGAGGAATTTCTTGCAATAAATCCTATAATAGGCACATGTGAAGGAATTTCTTATTATAAGCCCTATTACAGGCATTTGTCTATAAAAGCTCTTCTTCATGACTTCCTGACACCATTTTGTTAGGATTTGACATAAGTGACTATTTTGATATTGATAACTTTGTTATGTGTCTTTCAGATCTGGATTGGAATCTAGGCTCTCCCATTATTTAGGTGTGGCACATTAGTTATTTAGGCAATCTAAATTTCAATTTCCTCAACTGTAAAATGGGGTAATGACCTAAACAGATGGTTGGGTTAGTGGGTCCCTAAATTTGTTGATTGAGCCTATAATAACATGCCTGTCTCATAGTTGACACTCAGTTAAGGGTAGTTATAAAGCCCAGCAATGACCATATCCTCTGTAAGGGAAAAGAGTATGGTATTTAGAGATGTGACTTAGATTACAATTTCATCTGTCACTTAAGTTCTGTGTGATATCAGATAAGTTATTAAGGTTTCCTACTTTCAATATATCATTTGCAAAAAAAAAAAAAGATAACTTATGAAAAAGAATTAGGAATGCTTTTTTCATAAGACAGCTGAATGTAATAGGACCAGCCATTTACTTGTGATATAGTTCCCAAAACCTAATTAGAAAAGAATTTTGAAATGTGAGAACAAATGAAGTGAAACTAATTCATCATTTATAGGTGAAAAGATGGAGAATAAGAAGTATTTTACTGAAAGTGTTGGAGCTGAGTCTGAAACCTAAGGCTCCCCACTCTGGGCCTGTGTAATCATTGTCTCTCTACCACAAAATAATAAGCAAGGTTTCATCTTCCCTACATCCTGTCCTGACCATTTCCCATTAGTCTGCTGGCCCATATCAGTCAAGTGCCCTCCTGACTCCTGTGGTAGGCCCTGAATGAATTTCCTGATTTCATCTTGTATCAAACCCATGTTCAAAAGCTACAAATACATAAATAGAAGATATGACCCCCAAATTTATAAAGCTAAAAAATTGATGTGTTCAAAGATGTCACCATCTTTCTAACAGTATTTTTCCTAGACTACTTCTTTTACTTAAAAAAAAAAATAGTCAATTTAAGAAGCAGATTATATTTGACACAGTGATTTATCATCTAGATGATCTTGAAAATTAATGAAGCTGATGGCCTGCAGATATAATGAATAACCTGATATATCAGTAAGATTAAAAAATAAAGTCTTCTACTGTCATGTATAACTAATTAGAACAAATTTAAAATAAAAAATGGTGGTCTCAGCAATGACCCAAGCCCTACTCAGCTCATTCTCTTTTTGTAAGGATCATATGTAAGATTAACTGACATTGGTGCATTTATTCTTTGCAAAGAACTTTTGTGGGAGTTTTCCCTCATATTTGTTTTTTATAACAACTCTGCGGAGATAGCCATTATTTTCCCCATGAAATAATTGGAGATCTGCATCCGCAAGGTCACACTGTATTGCAGAACCCGTACTACAGATTTTCTGAATTACAGAGTGGGTGCTTTTACTGCTGTGGCACATGTGGCTGTAGCTGTATGTTGGACACCACCGTGGTTTTGGTCTTAGATGAATCTGGAAAATAGATTCTAATTTCTGAAACTGCTCCAGCAAAACTCTCTTTGATGTTCAAACTTATTTCCTCTGCTCAGAAAAGACCTCTCAGGTCACTTTTTCACCTATAGTTGAAGAAGAGCTTCAAGAGACTTCTTATGAACTATTCTCACTATAGTTACCAATCATCTTCTTCTCGTTAAATACAATGGATCTTTTTCAGCCCTCATTTGACACCCCTGATGCCCCTTCCTTCTTGAAGCAAGCTTTCCTTACTATTAAAAAAAAATGTGTATTTTTAAGTTGTAGATGAACACAATATCTTTATTTTTTATTTTTATGTGGTGCTGAGGATCAAACCCAGTGCCTCACACATGTGAGGCGAGTGCTCTACCACTGCTATAACTCTAGCCCCAGCTTTCCTTACTTTTATTGATGCCATTGTAATTTTTCTGTTTCTCTCTCTCTTTCTCTCTGTCTCTTAAGGAATTTTCCATTGGCTTACCCATTAAAAGTTGGTGTTGTCCAAGGGCCACATCTCTCTTGCTTTGCCTTGGCTACTATCTATAGATTGATGATTCATTTATTGTAGCTTTGTGGCAAATCACTTTTCTGAGCTACAGACTAGTTTATTCCAGCTGTCTTTTGAACATCCCTTCCATGAATATCTCATACTTTTGCACAGACTTAACATATCTAAAACTGAGCTTGTTCACTTTCTTTCCCCTGTAACCTCTCTTTCCTTTTATCAATTTGTGGTTTGTATTTGATTTAAATGGAACCATACAATCTTTATCCTTTTGTGACTGACTTATTTCACACTGCCTAATGTCATCAGGTTTTTAAGACTGAATAATGTTTCATTGTGTATATATACAACGTTTTGTTTATTTCTGTCAATTATCACTTGAGTTCCTTCTACCTTTTTTTTTAAAAAATATATATATATATATATATATATATTTTAGTTGTAGTTGGACACAATACCTTCATTTTATTTATTTATTTTTTTACGTGGTGGTGAGGATTGAACCCAGCACCTTGCACATGCTGGGCGAGTGCTCTACTGCTGAGCCACCACCTCAGCCCTCCTTCTACCTTTTGACTGTTGTGAATAATGCTACTATGAATATGAATATACCATGTATCTTTCTTTCAGTTCTTTTGGGCATATTTCCAAGGTGGAATTGCTGGATCACATTGCTGGATATTTTTAATTTTTTGATGAGCCATCATATAATTTTCTTAGCAGTTGCATCATTTTTCATTCTACCAGCAATGTATTAGGGATTCCGGTTTCCACACAGCTTCATCAATGCTTGTTATTTTCTCTCTTTCTGTTAAAAGTAATAACTATTTTAATAGTTATGAAATAACTCTTAAAATTTTTAAGAGTTATCTGTTTATCTTTTATTTTTTCTTTTTTTAAAATTTCTAATACATTTATTTAGGTTTCTTTAAACAAGGTTACTCTATCATCTTCTCAGGTCATTTCCCACTTCTGAGTTTCCTGTTAAAAACAGGGATAATAGGGGCTGGGAATGTGGCTCAAGTGGTAACGTGATTGCCTGGCATGCGCAGTGCTGGGTTCGATCCTCAGCACCACATAAAAATAAAATAAAGATGTTGTCCACCAAAAACTAAAAAATAAATATTAAAAAATTCTCTCTCAAAAAAAAAAAAAACAGGGATAATATTATCTACCTACTTCAAAAGTGCTTTGAGGATTGACATAATATGTGTAAAGCATCCAGTATGTGGTTAAGTCTCTTATTAGGTACTAAAGAATGAGTAGCCATTGTTTTATTCTTAGTCTTCCTTATGTCTGCAGTATCTAGCACAAGGAGTGGTGCAGAGTTGGCTCTCAGTAAATTTTGAAGGAAGAAAGGGAAGGTGGGAAGGAAGAAAGGAAGAAGGGAGGGAGGGTAGGAGATGGAAATCTGAGTGAAGGATCACAGCAGAGAAGTATACATTGGGTTTGAGGAAGAGATGTCTGTGACCTGGTTGTTCTTGCTAGTGAGTAGCCTTCCAATGTGGCAAGGAGAGTTTGGGACCAGTAGCCAATGTGGGAAGGTTTGTTCATGCTTTGTAGGTGAATGAAAATTTCACTTGGATGTTATTTTATGATTGATCAGTTCCTCTAGATGGAACAGGAAGATTTTTATTACTTCTGAGTCATGTAGTCAAAAGGATCCTTTCCTCTGACCTACTGGATTTGAAAAAAATGTTCTTTTTAGAACAGTAATAATTAACATCCAATGATTCCATTGAGCTACTTAGCAAGAGTTGCTTTCAAGCTTCCTGTATTATCTATTCAGTCCTGGACTGCCTCACTTTGAGGAACAGCTTCTTTGCTAACAAAGACAGAATGGACCTTGACTTTGAAAAACAAAATTTAACTCTCTTATGAAGAATTTTCTCTGAAACATGAGAGAGCAAAGACCCACAAAACCCATATAATAAGAAGTATATTACTATAGAAATTAAAACTAGCATTTGTGAAGTCATTTAATTCTTAGAACAATACAATATTTATTCCTATTAATAAATCCTATTCATAAATGAAAAAAGACTCAGAAAGATTAATAAGTCTATACAAGGTAATACAGCTAATAAATAACAAAGCCAAGATTAGCATTTAGGTTTACCAGACTCCAGTCTTTTCCTTCCACCAAGGTGTCAGGCAGGGTCTCTGTGGATTTTTTTTTTTAATAACTTTATTTTTTTTGTTTATTTGTTTTTTTTATGTGGTGCTAGGAATCGAACCCAGTTCCTTGTACATGCTAGGCCAGCGCTACAAACCCGGCCCCCCCTGTGGATTTTGGAATGAATACAAATTGTGTGTA